GACCATCCCCCCCGGGGGGTGATTTCTTGCTTTCTGTCTCTATGTCTCTCTGGCGAGCACACACTCCCTATAGCAAAAATCTTTCAAAACCCAAAAAAAATTCTTAAAAAATAAACAACTCTTGGACTGGAAATGTTTGCAAATTATTTCTAAGACAAGGGATTGATATTTAGAATATGTAGGGAACTCAAACAGCTCATTCATTAAAAGCATAAATAATCCAATTAAAAAATGGGCAAATGAATTGAATAGATAGCTCTCCAAGGAAGACTTGTGAATGGTTAAGAGGCATATGAAAGAATGTTCAAATCTCTTGTCATATGGGAAATGTAAGTTAAAACTACAATGATAGGGCCATCAGGTGGTGTGGTGGTTAAGGCACTGGACTTCCACATGGCTCACCACAGTTTGAGTCTTGGACTTGGAAGCTTGAGAATCACTTTGAGGCCATGTGTGTGTATGTTTGTCTGCCTAGAGTCCTAAGGGGGAAAATGGAAGAGAACCGATTGCATTGTGGCTGTACCCCCTTGGGAGTGATTTTTCACTTTCCCTCTCACTGTCTGTCTCTGTCTCTGGTGAGTGCATGTACCATATAGCAGAAACCTTAAAAACAAAATGAAAAGCTACGATGAGATGTCATATGTCTCCAGCTGGACTGACTAGGATCAAAAAAATAAAGACAACAAGTATTAGTGAGGTTGCGGTAAAAAGGGCACTCTCACACTGTTGGTGGGAATGTAAATTAGTCTAACCTCTGTAGAAAACAATACAGAGTTTTCTCAAAAACCTACACAAAGAGAACTTCCATATGACCCAGGAATCCTACTTCTTGGTACTTACCAAAAGGACAGGAAAATACTCAGTCTGAAAGATTGTACAATACATGTTTATTGCAACACTGTTTATAATTGCTGAAACATGGAACCAACCTAAGGGTTCAAATCTGATGTCTGAGTTAAAGAATTGTGGCACATATGTGCTGTGGAATATTTCACAGCTATTAGTAATAATGAGATCCTATCATTTGATGCAAAATGGATGGATATAATAGAAGAAAATGTTGATCAAAGTGACCCAGACTTTGCAAGAGGCACATTGTATATCCCCACTCAATTCGTACTGAGTGCTACAGCAGAGGTTGAGAAACTTGAAAATGTGATGGTGGAGAGGATAGGTATAAATGCTAGAGAGTGTAAGGAGGTAGAGTGGGTGATGAAGTGTGTGTGGTGGAGGGTGAATGTGAGGGGAGGAAACATTTGACAGATAGAAAAATGGGAAAAAAATAGAAAATGTTCATCATGAAATTAACTAAATTCTACTGTGTAGCAGGTTATTTTACAAATTGAACATATATTAATTGTATATGTTCATTAGGATTAAAGTACATGTGATAATATTTCTGTCCATTAAAAAAAGGAATTATCTGTGTTGTGCACTTAGCCATTCAATAAGTACTTGTGGAATGGTTAAGTTATATTGTGGTTTACATTTAGGTATACAATATCAAGTACAGTTGAAAAATGTTTTGTTTAGGCTTCTGAGTGTATAATAGGAATCTAATTTTTTTTTTAACAACCCAGAACATCCATTTTATGTATGCAATGTTGGCTACAAGTAAAAATTATTCCTACCTAACATACCCAAATTACTAACATGTATAGTTGCTATTTCCACTTTTGTGGTACACATATGCTCATTCGGAACTATTTGTCACAAGTAATAACCTCTCCCCAAATAACTGCTATACAAAGGAAAATGCATTAAATATCATTAAAGTGTAAAAATGTTAAAATACATGTGAAAGTGAAGAGGTTCTTCTGAATAAAAGCAAAAAGCAAGTTTTAAAGAAGGAAAGGCATATAATCTCAATATGGGAAGAATACAGATCAATTTCAAGAATACTTACTCAGTGATTACTCTATGTAGTGAGATGCTATGAATTGAGAAACATAAGCACTCAGAAAAGCACAGTTTCTGCCATCAAAGAACTTTTAGAATAGTGGGAGACTGTAGACATGCATCTATTGAGGAGGGGGTTTTAATGGTGGAGATGGAACAGTAGAGAGAATACTCGAATGAAAGTTTTTAAGGAATTAAGTTGTGAAGCAAAAGGAATAGTCAAAGAACAGGAAATAGACTCAACTTAAAGGGAGCAATTTACTGAAAAGGAGCAACAGGAGATGGAAAACTGGAAAGATAATTTGACCCAACACATGTAGTTAATGAAAGATTTTAAGTAGGAATGTGATATGTTTAGCCCTTTACTTCAGGAATATAAAATTTAGTGGAAGGAAGAGCAGAAAATCTGCATGTAATAGAATTAATGCTAAAGAAAGAAATACTTAACAGACATGAGAATGTATAGTATGGCATATGGTGATAGCTTTATTTGATTGTCATGTACTACACGCATACTTTAAAAAACGATGCTGTGTGCTATAGAGATATACAACAATTAAACGTGAATAAGAAACCATAAAATAAATTAATGATAAGAATAGTGAGTGTTAGCAAGTAAAGAAAAATAGAAGGGACAGATTCATGGTAAAAGTGGAATGAATTAAAGTTTGACGATTGATTAGGTGAAGATAGAGGAAGGAATCAAAGATGACTCCGATTTTTACATTTTTTAAAATCTGGTTTCTTTCTTTCTTTTATTTTTTTCTCTTTCTGCTTTCCTTTCTTTCTCCCTCTCTTCCTCTGTTCTTTTCTTCCTTTTGACAGAGAAAGGAGAGAGAGGTATATTCTCTGCAAGGTCTTGCCACATCTCAGACTCCTCTCAGCCTTCCAGAATCATGGGGGGAATTCATGGGCCCATCCAGTGTATTCCAATCAACCCAGGATCCAAACAGAGGGCATTTCTACATGGCTCCTATATCATGCAGCGGTGCCTTACTGCCTGCGCCACTGTGGCTAGGCCTTACTCGGGTTTTGAATCTAAACATTTTTGTACATGGAAGAATTAACAAAAATAGGGAAGACATGGTTAGAAGAAGTTATGGTAAGTTCTGTTTAGACACCCTGAATTGGACAGTCCTACAAGCATCTAGGAGTTCTAAAAAGAAATTAAAAATGAGGAACTTGAACTCGAGAGAAGAGTATAATCTTTTGATGTAGGTGTACAGTTTCAGGCATGCACCACCGTGACTAGCTTTTCAGGTGAGCTAGGAATCGAACCTGGACCTTTCAGGTAGCCTTAGCCTTCCAAGTGGCGTGGAACTGTGTACTACTATGGCTGGACCCGTGTACAAGATTTTGAGAGCACTATTATCTGGTAAACTAAATGCCTTGAACATATTTGTAAGTGATAGAAGGTAAAAAAAATAAGGACTGCTAACTCAGGAAATTCCTAGCAGTTTATGGCTGATATCTTATCCCAAGTGAAGACTGGGTTTCTGCAGCCCTCAGCCTGGACAATTAAGGAAGTAACATCATATTTAATGGGTCTCTCTTAGAGAGTTTCAGAGGCAATTTTTAACAGCTGATGCTGTTTCATCCCTTTTAGCGAATATACCCAAAGGCTATACATTTTGATTGCGTTCCAAGGCCAGAAACAATTCTCTAGTTTATCTAGGCTACAGTGTAAGCAATTCTAATATTAGGTTTTTATGACCCGGATTAGATTTATGGTGCTAAGGTGTCTGTATTAGAATTTGACACCATTTGAAGCCTGGGGGAAGCCCTCCAAAGGGGAGTCAAATAAAATCTCCATAGTTTAATAATAAATCCATATCCCTTTCATTGAGAGTACCCTTATGTTTATTATTATTATTATTTTGAGAAGGAGCTCTCACTTGTTATCGCCAGAGAGACAGATTCTGGTGGACTCTGGTACTACAAACCCCCATGATCCCAAGCTGCCCTGCCTTTTATTCGATTGCTTTAGCTAGATCCAGAGCTCTTTAAGGATAAGATGCTTCTATTTATTGTTATGTCCCCAAATCCTAGCAGGGCGTTCAGCAGTTATTAGTTGCTCTAATCATATTGATCAAAGTTCCATACGCTTGCCCTGTGATTATTAACATCTATGCTGAGGAAATAATCAGACATACGTATAGGGGGCCCGAGGATGGCACAGTGGTAAAATGCAATGTTTTAGGAGGCAATCCCATATGGTAAGATTCCAGGGTTTGAGTCCTGAGGCTACCCCCAGTCCATTGGGTGTGTGCTTACTCATGATCCGGGGCTGACTGATGCCACGGGCTGTATCGTGGCATTGGGACTGTTGGGAGTGTGTTCTCGCTGTCTCTGTTTCTCCCTCTCTTGCTCATGGGAGGAATAAATAAATAACTTAAAAAGAAATATGTAGGGACCAGCAGATGGCGTAATGGTTACGTTGCTGGATTCCCACATAACTGACTGTGATTTGAGTTCTGGACCCAGCGGCTTAAAAGTCACGCTGGGCATGGGTGTGTGCATGCCTAAAATCCTGAGAAGAGAATGGAGGAGACTGGGTTGCAGCTTGGCCATCCCACCTGGGGGATAATGTCTTGCTCTGTTTCTTTTTTGGGCGAGTGCTTGGGCCCTATAGCAAAATCTCTCTTAGGAAAAAAAAAACAAACAAACAAACAAAAAAAGAAGTATGTATAAAATTTATGATAGAGGAGAAAAATTAGAATGAGCATTAATATTCAACAATAGACAAATGATTACTAAATTTTGGGCTATGGACATAATAGAATATTATTCAATCATTAAAACCGGCAGCTTCGAAGAACATTGGTGACATGAAAACACAAGCAGTATATAATCTAATCCTCACTCCAGAATGTAATGTATAAAGTGGTAAGTAGAGCATGCTCATAATTTCATGTACAAACCCACATAACTGAAAGGAAATACATTTGAAAAGAATTCCTTTTAGGATAGGGACTGTTTCTGTTTGGGAAAACATGTTGAACCTATTCAAATAGGAACCAAAGCACAGAGATCACAGGTTATTAGGCAAAATGAGGCAGTGTAAGAGTGAGTGACGAGAGTATCTCTTAGGCAAGGTCGTCATGGGAAGCATCTTTGAAAGAAACGGGACAGAAACATGGGGTACGGGGACAACAATATGTATGTTTGCTGGTGGGACTGATCCAGTGAAGAGTGCGAGCAGTAGAGAGAGGGGAGAGTCAGCGGGGCCACGACCTCGGCCAAAGCACAGGTGTGAGGCGTTAGCTGGGAGTGCTGTGAAGGCAGGAGTGGCCGCAGTTGCAGGTCGGTTAACAGGAAGAGCAGTGGGAGCGTATCACTCTTCTCTTCTGCTTGCTTCTATTTTCTCAGTACAGGAGGGAGCCAGGTCATCAAATAAAAGTGAGACGGGATAAGAAAGAGGCTATATATGAGCTAGGAATGCAGAATGGGAGAATGAATGGACAGTTAGTTAAAAGCTGTCTAATACTTGTTATTATTTTGTATATTTGGAATGAAGTTTGAATGTCTCCTTCCACACAGCTGCCTATGATTTTATATCTTTTCTATCTCCTCCTAACGAAGGTAATTAATCCAGTGGCAAACTGACAGAAAGTTAAAGTGAAAAGAACTTGCTCAGTTCCAAAGCTCCTCGGCCAATTCGTTATAATGAAACTCTCTGTTCTGCTTTTGCTGATGAAATAACTGCATTTTTCTCTCTGCTCTACAGGGTGGTGGTGATTGTCCAGAAATGAGCATCGGAGCGATAAAAATTGCCTTGGAAATTTCTCTTCCTGGTTCTTTTATCTACGTTTTCACCGATGCACGATCCAAAGATTACCGGCTCACCCACGAGGTGCTGCAGCTTATTCAACAGAAGCAGTCACAAGTGAGTAGGAGGCACCCCAAACCTTTTCATCTGAACGCAGCATGTAAGAGGTTGTGTGTCCTCTGCTTACTCCATGAGGGGTAAATGACAATAATTATAATCTACCCACATACAGATACTGATATGTATGTCATTTAAGTTTTTTCAAAGAATTACTTTATTTAACTTTGTTTGTTTGTTTATTTATTTATTTAAATTTGACCAGAAGAGGACAGAGCAAGAGAGTGAGCAAGAGAGAGAGAGAGTGAGAAAGTGAGAAAGCAAGCTGCCAGTTCTGGGACTAGAACTGGACCGTGGTTGGCCATGTGGGAGTCCAGTGCCTTTAAACATCATGCCACCTCCTGGCCACTATGTCATTTAATTTTAACATATTAAATGCACATGTAATATTTATAGATAGCATATGAATGATTTTTTTAAGAATTATTTATTTCCATTTGTTATTGTTATTTTTTTTTCTTTATTTGACGAGAGAGAGAAAGAGAGAGAGAGAGAGAATGGGAAAGTGAGAAAGCAAGCCACCAGGTCCGAGACTTGAACCATGGTTGGCCATGTGGGAATCCAGCGCCCTTATCCACCACACCACCTGCTGGCCCCAGATGATTTTTTCTTAATACAGAGAAGAAATGATAGGGTTAATTAAGGTGCTTGTTATCCTCTTCTCCTTATAACTGAGGAAAACAGGCTTAACAAAAAAGGCCTGTATTTCAAATGTGGATTCTTGCCAGTCATTCATTCCTTCTATTGGTTTGTTAGTGCTGCATAACAAATTGTTACAATAAAGCAATAGGCATTTATTTCTCCCACATGCACAGAGCTCAGCTGATGTAGGCTGAGTTTGCTTGCTTCATGTCTGGGGAAGAGTTTGGGTTTGGCTTATCTAAGCCAGGCACTGGGGTGACTTGGTGATGCCTCACAGGTTTCCTTGTCTCCTTCTGAGTAGGTTAGTTTAGGCATTTTTCTTAAGACCATGGCAGATTTACCAGAGATCAAATGGAAGAACACAAGGCCTCTTGAGTCTAGGCTTGTAGAATGTCCCTTTTGCCTCCTGCTGTTGGCCAAAGCAAATCATGCGGCCAAGCTTAGATTCAAAGATGAGAAAATGAACTTTGCCCTTGTAGAGAGAGCACTTTACATTCCTTTGGCTAAGTGTGTGAGGACAGAGAGGGTGAGGACTGAGGCTTTCATGTAATCTAGTACAGTCATGGTCTCGCTCGTATGTCCACAGTATGTAGCCTGTAGTTCTGAAATGGACATCACGATGTTCCTGTCTATTAAGCAGAATACCAGATCAAGAATAATTATGTAATATATAAACCCATAAATATATATACATGCGTGTGTGTATATATTCCACTTGCTTGGTAATATGTTAACACATAATAGTTACTTAATAAATATATGCTGATTTCTGGAAACCCTTTAAATTGTCTTCTTTTTTTCTGTAAATGTAGGTGGTATTTGTGCTCACTGGAGATTGTGATGACAGGAGCCATATTGGATATAAAGTCTATGAAGAAATTGCCTCTACAAGTTCTGGTCAAGTGTTCCACCTGGACAAGAAACAAGTTAATGAGGTCAGTCTCATAAAGGGACTCTACTTTATTACTAGCTATTAGCAACCTCACGAACATCAGTTAGGCCAGCCTACATTGTGACGGGTTTGATTTCAAGAACAATTTTAATCAAAGGCTTTACTCCTGGACCACAGGTCAGTGAAAGCATTGACTTAAGATGGAGAGACAGATTTCCAAATGTTAGTTTCTAGGTTGTATTATGTTACAGTAACAGATTATTCAATTTAAGTGTAAGTGCATTTAAAATTTATTTACTTGGAATCAAAAATTGTTTGTAGTTCTTATTGTTTAGTATGGTCAATTTCTGTTTCTCTTTTTAAATCTAAAAAATTTTTTGTTGCCATTTTCATTTAATGAATCAATTTAGTTTTTGGGTGTTTTTTTTTTTTTTTTTTTGTCAAAGGGCATGTGTGCTCACTGGAGAGACAGAGAGAGACAGTGAGAGAGAAAGTGAAAATCACCTTCTGGTGGCTGGTGAGGATGACCATGCCACAATCCCTTCTCTTCTATTCTCCTCTCTGGATTTGGGGAACACATGTACATATGCCTGGTGTGATTATTAAGCTGCTAAGTGCAGGACTCGAACTGCAGGCAGCCATGTGAAAGTCCAACTCTTAACACCATGCCACCTGCTGGCCCCAGTTTCTGATGAATGATTTTTGGATAAGAGTGAATTAAAGCTTCACTAGTTACTACAGTAAAATGTGAAAAAGTTAATTATTGGACAGAATTCTAATGAGAGTTGGTGTCTAAGATTAAAAGTCAAAAACTACGACTAAGTCACTATAGATATTGAAAAACTCGTGATAAAATCTGAGTTCATAATTTATGGCATATTTTAAAAGTGATAATATATAATTAATTTTGAATATTAACATTTGCATTATCATTTTTATAAATAAAATACCTGTGATATGTTATAAGAAAATCTTAATGTTTTCTTAAAAAGGTCTCTGAGGCAGATCCAACTGTCACGATTCCTTCTTTTTCCTTGTTAGCTTGCCTTGGTCTTGCTCACAATAGTAACATTCTATTTATATTCACTGTTTATTTATTTGGCTCCCACTTAAGTTTCTAGGCACATACCAGTACAAAGGTAAGCTTTTCAATGAGGCATAATACACATTTGATTCATATGGTTACTATACCTGCAATTCTGTTAATTTCATGACAGACTCCTTTGTGTCTCGAATACACGATTTTCTTATACCTAAAGTTTTTCATGCGTCATGGAGGAACTAATATGACATGCAAATTTCTAGGGCAAACAATCCAGCCCCCCCCCCAAATACATATATATACACACATACATACATACACACACATATACACATATATATACATATATACACACACATATATACATATATATGTGTGTGTATATATGTATATATTTTTAAGATTATTTATTTCTTCCATGAGAGAGGAAAACAAAGAGATACCTGAAACAGAATCTTCATGCCAGGATCTGCTCCTGTTCTTGGTCAGCCAGGATCACTGGCATCTGCGTATGCCCAGCATGTATGGCTCTAACTCAGGATGTGAATCTGTGACCTTCTCGTATGGTTTTGGCATTGTGAACTTTGTATTACTGCTTTGCCGCTATAAGTGGCCTACCAAAAATATTTTTTCTTATTAACATGTTATTATATATAAACCTGGAAGGTTACTATACTTGTAAAAAGTTTTCTGGGAGGACCAGCAAATGGTGTAATGGTTATGTTACTGAATTCCCACGTAGCTGACCGCAGTTCAAGTCCTGGACCTGGTGACTTAAAAAACTCACACTGGGCACATGTGCGTCCATGCGCAAAATCTTGAGAGGAGAATGGAAGAGAAGGGATTGTGATGTGGTCATCCCCCTTGGTGGGTTGGGAGGGTGTGTGTGTGATTTTTCACTTCCTGGCTCTTTCTGTGTCTCTGGTGAGCACATACACCCTATTGCAAAAAATCTCTCTCTCAAAAAAAAAAATTGGGGGGCGGGGAAGAAATATCTTTCAAACAGGTTATGGCTTGAGTCTATGTCCTGTCCACTGTAGCAACTCAGAAATGCCTAGGGAGGGTCTGAGGACCACAGGAGGAGTCTTAGAGTTAATTTGCATAAATGTTTGCATGAGAATGTGAGGGTCTGGGAAGAAGAGCCCAGAACTTCTCAGGTTCTGGGTTTCTTGTTCCATGCCAAACACAGCTTCCTAATGAAGGAAAGGCTGCTGGTAGAAGCTGTTCTCAAGGAGTTCCTTGAGACCCCCGAGTCAGGCAGTATCTCCAGTACAAAGTGGGACTTCAGTGAGAAAGAGCATCATTCTTCCCTACTTCTGCAAGTACACCACTTGGCTACAGTTTTATGATGTTGTGGGTTGAACATGGCAGTGGGGTTCAGAGGAGACAGAGGAAAATTAGAAACTGCAGAGGATGCGATGCCCAGTGGACATGGTGGGTCCAGGTAGAAGGTACTGGACGTGAGGAGAGGTGAGAAGGCACATGGCCGCTCCTACAGGTTTTGAGAGAGTAACTGCCTGGACTGCTTGTGAGCACTCAGACACAACTCAGAGATGCTCCAAACAAGGTGGGCTCGATTTTAAAGACAATCATAGGAGTTTATTAGAAGTTGGCCCCAGAGCTAGGGGAAAAATAATAGGTGTTCCTATGAATGTTGCTTTATTTATATCCACCTACCCAGGGAAGGTTGTTGTGTATAATTGAAAGTATTATTGTTGTCTTAAATGGAGAAAATAAGCCCTGTAGAGGTATACACTTTTAATTAAATAAATGTCATCACGCTTAATTTTTTTTTGGGGGGGGAGAGGTTTTTGCTGTAGGACACGTGCACTTGCCACAAAGACAGAGACAGAGACAGAGAGATAAAAAGTGAGAAATCACTCTCCAGGGGGGATGGCCATGCTGCAATCCCTTCTCCTCCATTCTTCTCTTGGGATCTTGGGCACGCATGCACATGTGCGCAGCGTGAGTTTAAGCCACCAGGTCCGGGACTCAAAGTGTGGTCGACTACCTGGGGAGTCCAACGACATAGCCATTACGCTAACTGCTGGTCCCGTCATGCTTAATTTTTATAATCTTAATCATTTTTAACAATTTAGTCAATTAGCAAATAATTTTTGAGAAGAATTATGTTATTTAACTTTATTTATTTATTTTAATTTGACCAGAGAGAGAGAGAGAGAGGAGAGAAAGTGAGAAAGCAAGCCACAAGGTCCAGATTCAAACCGTAGTCAGCCATGTGGGAGTCCAGCACCCTTAACCACCATGCCACCTGCTGGCCCCAGCAAATAAATTTCAAGAGCAACATTTAACAAAAATTTGTTGTAAATCACAGCAGTTCCAAACTCCTTGCCAAATAGTGCAGGAAAGGGCATCTTACTTTGGGCTAGTGAGTTTAGGGGGATTTAGCTAGGCATGTCTTGGAAGAGTTCTCTTCTAGATACTACCCTGCATGCTTGTGAATCCCTGAACTGACATGTCTGTCTTTAAGTCTGAGGATGACACAAATACAGAGGGCAGTGACGAGCTTAGAAAATCTAATCTCTCGATAAGTCAACACTCAAACCCAGCCTAATGCTAAGCTTTCAGAGTTAAGGAAATCATTGTTTTGCTCAAGCCAATTAAACTAGACGTTCACTTACCTCAAGATAATATATTTTAACTGATAGAAATTCTGTATTTCTTTGTGACATGGCCTCTGTGAGCCCCAGTTTTCTTGTTTGGAGATAATAAAGTCACTCTTTTTAGATAGTTTTCCAAGGATTAAATGAAATAACATTTCTTTATTTGTGGCACACCTGTACATGGGTTTTTCAAGTTACCAGGACCGGATTCAAACCACAGTCAGCCATGGGAGACCCAACTCTTAACCCTGAGGTTACAGGGCCGGCCCATCTACTGTTTCTTAAGAACCCGTAGAGTATTATGTTTTTTTTGGAGAGATTTTCACTGTAGGGCGCGTGTGCTCGCCAGACAGACAGAGAGAGACAGAGAGACAGAAAGTGAGAAATCACCCCCCAGGGGGGATGGTCACGCCGCAATCCCTTCTCCTCCATTCTCCTCTCGGGATCTTGGGCACGCACGCACACACGCCCGGCGTGAGTTTTAAGCCACTGGGTCCGGGACGTGAACCGCGGTCAACTACGTGGGAGTCCAGCGACATAGCCATTACGCTAACTGCTGGTTCCCGAGTATTATGTTTTATCCTTTTACCCTAGCTCAGCAATTTCCCAACCTAGAGAGGTGTATTTTGTGTCAGTGCTCTCCCTGAACTAACTGGAAGTGTTTTCTTTTCTTTTCTTTTCTTCTTAAACAATGATTAAGTAGAAGATTTAGGTATCTTTCATCCTTATTTAACATGAAAGGGAAATCAAAGTAGAGAAATTATCTGGCTGAGCATCAGTGGTCTATAAATTTCTGAATGGCATTATATTTTGGAAACACAGGTTAAGACATGTCTCAAGGATGTGCTTAATTCACCTTTGAAGACAGAAAAGGAACTGAATAATTGCAGTATAATTCCTCTCCTTCTTTGTACACTGGATGATGATGAGTTTATCTATCTAATGCTTCCTTTAGGATAAGAAAAAGTCCAAGTTTGAAATTTCAGAATTACCCACAGACACTGTGTCAAGGATGCTAACACACCAAAAAAATCCTGCTGCTTATTAGGTAATTCCCTTGTCCTGAGTTCCTCCACCTTTCCCCCGACTCACATGCTCTGAGATTGCCTTCTTTCCTGAAAAAATACCTTCCTCGTTGTTTTAGCCATGTGGAGTCCCATTCCAATAAATGTTAACATTACAACAAATAATATTCCAATAGATAATACCTGCTACAGAGGAAAGTTTCAGTAATAATCCCAGCAGAAAACAGAAGGCTCATTCAACAGGGGCAAAAGAGAATTTAAAGAACGACAGTTATCAACGCGTGTGGGTCACGCTAAGCCCACTAGCAGGGACGTGAAGCATCAGGAGTCCAGAGTATGAGTGTACCTCTGT